TACCCGACTCCTCTGTGGTCTTTTTGATTCTGCGTAGGTGCCTTCTGTCCTTGCCCACGCCTATTGAACGGGCGTCCCCTGTATGCTCTGGTCGGCTCAAATGAGTACGGGCCGGCCTGGTAAGAATTTGGATTGCTACCGAGCTGATACCCAGGTGCTTGAGGCCGGCCGTATTCTTATACAAAATGGGTCTGGGTGGGTTGCCGAACAAAAGGCTTCTGCACATACCCCTCCAATTTTCCATTACAAGCCAAAAATTCGAGCTCGTCCTTCAGGCTCTGACAATCTTCTGTGATATGGCCGTAGACACGATGATAGTCGCAGTATTTGCTTCTGTCAGCTCGTGAAGAATCATGCGTTTGTGGAGGGGGTCTCTTGACCCAATGCTGTATCTGCGACAATATCTGGGATCGCAACGAGCTCAGGGGTATGTAGCTGTCATATTTTGGATAAGAGGGTGGTTTCCCTCTCTGCTCGCCAACCTTCTGCTTCTTCTTGTCATCTCTGCTTTCAGGTTGCTTGGATTCTTTTCCGTGTCTGTCATCAGCTCGTCTCTTAGAAGATTGAAAATCTTCAGACAATATGAAGCTTGCCGACCTGTCATTTACTTCATTCCATGACTTGGGCGGATTCTCCAACAGGTCGTCCAAAAACCGGCCAGGCTTCAGGCCATGCAACAAGGCAGATAAGCAAATGGTATCGGGGACGTTATCAATGTCCAAAGTAGCTTTGTTGAATCGTTGCATGTAGTCTCTCAACGACTCCCCCTCTTTTTGATGAACCTGCATCAGTTCAGTCGCCGTGCGTTTAATTTCCCTTTGGCTCGCAAACTTGTTGGAGAATAGCTTGGTGAGCTGGGAGTACGAGTCTATGGAATGTCTGGGGAGTTTGTGATACCATCTCCTGGCTGTTGTTTTAAGTGCTGCTGGGAACACTTTGCACATCATGGCATCATTGGCGTTTTGTATTCTCATGATGGCTTGATAAGTGTGCAGATGCTCGTCCGGGTCGCCCGAGCCATCATACGTCTCTAAATGGGGAATTTTAAATCCCTCTTGATATGGTTCTACCGTGATGGATAGGTTCAATGGGGCGCTATCTAAATCAAGAGTTTGCTGATACGACCTGGGGCTTTTCAGTTCGTCTATAGACTTTTGTACCTCTTTTAGCTGCCTTTCAAGGTCTGCGTTCTTCTTCAACAGTTCTTCGTTGTGCTTGGATGAGCTGTGCTCGATATTTAGCTTTCCACTTCCCCTTGGCCTGGTCGGCACCACTATGTTGCTTAGAGCAGGGGAGTTTCGAGTTGCAACAACCGCAGCTAGCTGTGCATCCCTGTTCAACAAAGGAATCAGGGGGTCATCAGGAATCAGACGGGCAAGGATTTTTCCCATTGCCATTTCGAGAACTCTGGTTCTTTCTTCGAGCTCGGTCGTCCGAGCAGGTTCTGTGGACCTTTCAGGTCGTTCATGCTGTGAGTTGTGTGGTCTAGAAGGTCTTTGTCTTGTCCCAGTTGGAACTTGGAACTGTTCAGGCTGGGTTGCATACCCAGTTGGTGTTCTTTCGTCATCTGTTTCACTCAGGTGACCCTGTTCGGCTCCTCCGACGAAAAGGTTTCTTGGCATTGGCCTAAAGTCATTCAATCCGGGCTCAGATACTTGAGCGTCATCCTGTTCGTCCATCTCATTCCTCGGGGGGCGACCTCCTGTAAAAGTTCGAACCATTTCGTCTTTCAGCAGGTTAAGTTACACAACTTCTTGTTCAGTTTCCCACAGACGGCGCCAAATGTTTGGGCAGCTTCACAATCCAACGCTGTTGAAGTCTTCAGCTGCTTCTACACCTGAAAACCCCGAGGATGTTTCCTCGGGGAAAACACTCCAACGCTCAAGTCAGCAATACTCAATATTCTAGAGAGAAGTGCTTTCAAAGAGTAATTGCAGAGAGAGAAGCATAGAGATTCATTACCTTCATTGTTGGTGGTTGGGGGGTATTTATAGCCCCAAATACTGACATGCATTCCCACATGTAAGTAACTCATTGGGCCAC